GTCAGCGTATCGAATCCGTGCGCATCCTTCCTTGCTTTTTTCGCAACGTGTTAATAGAAAGTAGACTTTCTGACTTGAACACTGCGGTAGTCCAAAGGATTTATATCCGTGAGAGAGATTGACTTTCACCTTCAGGAGATCAGATCGATCACTTACTCCTTTGGGGAATAACTTCTAGCCGAAACGAGCATCTGGCCCCTATATCGAAATTATTGGGATAGCCATGGGTAGCACAACAAGTCCAGTAGCTTTTGCGTTAGACGCCGACCCGCGAGTACAACCCTATAGGCAGAAGATCGTCTAGTTGAGCTTCATGTATTGTATAAGGGTAAGATCCTCGTCATGAGTGTTACTCTCTTTGGGTGTTAGCGGCATTTGATGCTGGGGCTCCTTCCCTATCTCTGAGGTAGGTTGAGCTACCTCCAAGCAAGAAAGAAAAGAAAGGAAAAAGCAGTGGTTATGGAGCACAGTACTTAACGATTAGTACCCACAGAACGTGAGGGTGAGGACGAATGAGGCATAAAAACTTAGAGGGAAGGTAAGCAGGGTGAAAAAGTTTTTAAAAAAGTGTTAAGAAAGTGTGCATAGAAAAAGTGCAAGGATATAAAAAATTAGACAAAAGAGAATGTGAGAAACAGATAATGTGAAGAGTGGAGAGGCCGCGCCGAGTAATCACCAAAACGGAAAGAAATAGTGATAAAAATAGGTGGTGTTAAAAATGAGCATTTAATTTGATGGTGGTAAAAAAGAGTAAAAAAGAGTAAAAGGTGAGCCCAGTGGAAATGTATCAGTTGCGCTGAGAGGCAAAATATGAGGAAAGTACAGGATGGAGAAAAAGAAGAAAACGCTACAAAGTTATTCTGACTTTTTTCTATCAAACACAACACGAAGTTGTTGGAGAAACTTTGTCGGCTGACGTTTCGCTGGGGCCACCTTCGTCGGAGCCTCCAAAGGTGAAGTAAATTTATGCTACCCGACCAAACGTCGCCGCTATCCTACAGAAGTTCTAAATCAAACAAAAAATCAAGGAGTCTCAAGATAGATCCACTTAATGTAATCCGTTCCGGATCTCTATACCAGCCGATCGCGATCAGCTGCAATCTGGACTTTTCCAAATGAGAGTCACTGCTGTAAGGCCAACCATAAATAAGGTTATTACTCCCTCGTTATCTAGAGGCCTTGGCAGCTGACGTGAATCCAAAAGGTCAAAATGTCAAAAATGGGTTGGCATATCTCCTTCTCAAGGGTTCTTCATACACATGTTTCTGAGCAAAGACCTTGGCTGTTACCTCAAAATTGTCCCCATCATGAATTTGAACCCTGTGGGCTCCTAAAGCAGTTGATGATCGTGACCTATTCTTGCCCTCTATGTGCTCTTTTATACGTACACAGAGCGGTCTTGCCGTCTCGCCGATATACTCGTCCCACAAGTGGAACAAGTGATTTTGTAAACCACCCTGAAATGTTGCAGTCCCTTCCCTGTTGGTTGGACAGACTACACAATTGGGTGTGGTACATAGACGGTCGTAAAGTCGATTGCGTACGAGGCGGTGCTTCAAGTTATGGGGTGGAATGTTCACAATGGCAACTGTATTTTCCAATCCTGACCTTCTTAAACACTTTTTTATAGAGGCGCTAACTGTATCACAGACGAATGGTAAGCATAATTTTGTTAGTCTGTGAATACCATCGGGCCTGCTCATCGCGCCACCATTTCTGGCTCCTGCGGAAAGTCAATGGAGTCTCGTAGCCATTCAAAGCAGCTATCTCGTGTGCCATTTTGAGCGATTCTTTTCGCTCATCTTCTCCTGTGCAGAACGTTGCTTGCTGTTCGAAACATGTTCTTCACAACAGCTCGCTTAGTTTGGGCTGATGAGCGGATCTGCAGTGGGCAATTATATTTTTGTTTCTCGGCTTCCTGTACCATTTTGTGAGAGCATGCCGCCTCTAGGTCTCATTTTGATGTTTGAAAATGGGAGCCAATCCTTTTCTTTGATTTCGCGGATCAACAGGAGGATAAAACTGACACGTGCGGCTTCGCCGTGTCAGTTTTATCCTCCTTTTAGACTCGCGCCAATGAGTGTAAGTCGTTGCCTCCATTACTGGCTCTGTTTTGCGCGATATACCTTTCCCACCATCTCAAAACAGTACAGGTGAGACAATTTTTGAATGGTGACACCAGCTGATTGACTTCAAGCCCGTCCATGTGTGATCTCGTGGTGCTCGTTTAGAGGCTCTAGTACCCCTAAATGACAACGCATACACAGTCTACTCGTAGTGCATGAAGGTGTTCTAATAATATTTGTGTGTTGCTGAGGTGGGCTGGTATGCACTCGAGTAGCTGCACCAAGATTTGTTGAGCTCCAATCTGATCAGTGGAACCGCCCATGCCATTGACAATAGGTCTAGCTTCAACTGAGCTTAGCTATATCAAGTACTAAAACCGTGGGCAGGTGAGTCCAGCCAAATGTCATTCATGTGAATTGTTTTCTCATATTTAGGCGGAAAGTGTGAGCCGTACGGAACCAAATCATCACTCATATAGTCGTCCGCCACAGGAAGAACCACAGGTCGGATCTATAGACTGTTTCTTCCTCTATTAGTCATGTAGTACTTACGTATAGTAATGGGCGTAATTTGCAAAAGAATCTCATTTTCGAGCAACGGCGTATATGCCAGGCTGACGCAGCGTCTTCAATGCGGAGCTCGGGCCAAACCGGGTCACAAATTGTTGACCGCTTGACAATCGCTTGACAGAATCCGCTGCTACCGAGGAAAAATAACGATCCGGCAGTACGACTTTTACTTGATTGTGGAAATGATAAAGCCCTATCACCGTAATATGCATCAACATTTGATACAGTCGCTTCCTCGAACCCTGGATGGAGAAATCGAAAGAACGTGTTGGACAGTTTGCTTCTGCACGCACGTAATCGTTGACCAAGGCGCCCTGTGCTTTCTCAAGACATTCTTTGAAGAGATGTATCAATTGTGATAAGTCGTCTGGGTAGTTTGTTCTAGTAACACAGTGAATGGTCTGACCGAGTTGAGGTCAGGAATATTTGGTAGCTCCTGGTGCGAGGTGGCGATGCCATGAGGGCTGTTGCACTGATTGCACAGCAGGGGTGCACACACTGAAGGACTCTACTTCCGAGTATTGCTTCGACTCATTTGACACGATTACCACGAACCGAGCGAAATCCTTGCTGTGCCACCCCGATCAGGCCAACAAAACCATGATCCCCCAGTATTATGTTGTTAAGACAAATTCTCCAGTAAGTCGAGTAGAAATGGCAGACTCGCGGTATTAGAACAACCCGAGTTTATCTCGTTGGTACAGGCTCTACACAAGAGAAGGCTCCACTAAGCTTTTGACAAATGGAACAATGACTACTTCGGGCGTTGCATAACAGCATGAGCTACACCTGTGTTGCCTGACATTCGCTCCTCCGCAGCTCCTCAAGACCCCAAGTTAGATATCTCTCTTAACATCAGGGACATGACGCAAGCACCAGCATGCAACACCAGCATGTACCTGTTGCGGTCAGGGAATAGGTCCCGCTAGTGAGCGCGCCGGCGACGCGGCTCGTGCGCAAATGTTAAAGGAATCTTGCGCGGAAAAATCATGATTCTATTTCAGCCATAAATCACTGGCTTGAGACTCATTATCCACGATAATAGTGAAAAGAACTGAAGTATTGCTTTCGTTTTGATTAGAAATTCGAAAACTCGAAAAGGCTGCTACGCGTTCGAATTGCCCACGGACGTCTTTCACGAATGCTGGCGACGGGGATGCTCAAACTTGGTTCTTGGAGTGCATTCACTAGAAGCTCTTTCTGGCCTTCTGCTTCGTTGCATTCACATCTTACACTTCTACTCCATCCTATTCCATCGATCGATTTGTCTCCACTCTCCGAAATCGCGCGCTTTAACCCGATTCTCTCATTGCGTCGCCTGGTCCTTCGATGGTCCATAACGTGTAGTTTTTGTACGTTTGTTTCTCTTCAGAAACCGAATCTTCATGCGTGAAACTTTGTGTGCTATTTCCAGTGATCACAACTGACATATTCATGTTAGGAAAGAGTGCAAGAATTTTCCGCGCAAGATTCCTTTAAGCATTCATCTCGCGATTTCCCATGCATAACTCTTGCATTAGTGCTCATTCTATCCTGAAACATTTTTTCTGCTTTCACAGCGAGCACCTGATTCGTTTATTTTGCTGAGATGTAACATATGTTATACATATTTTAGGCATTCACTCAAGGTTCCATGAACGGATATAAAAGAAGGAGGTTCGCTTGTCAGGTAAAGTGCTGCCGTTGCAAACGTAAAGCTATTGCAATCTTTCTGAATCGGGAAAACTTCGTAAAATGGTTTAGGAACTCAACTGTCGCAGCTCGCTCGATGAGAGGAACTTGCTCACCCACGTGGACCATCACAGGTACATAATGTTTTTGAGAAGAATTAAGGCTCTGAGAAGGTCGCTTACTGTAAAATTTGTAAGCTTCATTTGATTTTGCTAAAGGGATAGCATATGTAATGGACATTTCCACACTCTACTCCTCCCTTCCTGGCCTCCCACCGTAGCGCTTGGTAGTGACATTACTCTGTTGACGTCATCCGTTCTCGCTAAATCGCCCCTTCCCTACATAGCAATTCCTTCGAGCTGATTCCTTAGTTCAGAAGTTAGATGCAGTGCTCACTCTGAAACACCGTGAAACTTCAAAATTTGACGCGAATTCGCGGCTTTTTCTTGTGCTTCTGCCATGGTTCTGTTGAGAGTGGAGCTTTCCAGAACTAAAGCTTGTCAAGCGCTGTGGATTTTCCCTTGACATCTAAGAAAAGTTCCATTCCGGAACGCGCCATGAACTCTTGTGTGATCTTGAGAGCTAATAAATGTATGCGTCGCAAATACATAACATATTACGCAACTAATCAGCCGTCAGGAGAATAGTATCCATTCGCTACCAAAGGCGCCACGTTCACCACTTCATCCAAAGCACGGTGGAAATAACTGAACATTTTTTCTAGATTTTATAATTTCTGTTTCGTTTTGAAATGCT